TATTTTGGGAAAAGTTTTCTAAAAGTGTTTGCGAAAACCCGGATGCCTAGGAAGCGCCTAGTGGTCCGTGGTGTTAGTGTAGTTTAGAGGGGAGTATGGTTGAGCTAACCAGGCCGAATGCGACGCCTTGGAAGTGCCTTGTGGTCGTGGATGGTTAGCTAATCCTCCTTTCGTGACGCCTTGGAGGTGCCTTGGGTTGGATTACACTAACAGTTTGAAAGTTGAAACGGAAATGTTTCGGATATGGGGAGTGACATTTGTATGGCATTGCACTTCAGTAGAATATTTGGTATGTATGTGTTTGAGTGACAATTATTATATACTTGTCGTTGTGGTTATTGTCATATACCCCTATGTTATGATCCCGTTTTCTTTCACCTATTCCTTACGTGGATTCACGGGGTCATAAGAAGTGTGTCTTAGACACTTTTTACTGAGCGTTTAGCTCACCCCATTATTTTAATATTTTCAGGTTTGGGAAAAGAATTGGCAGACTACAACCCACCACATCCTTAGCTTGGATTAGAAGAATGTCTCTTTTGCTATCTTTTGTATTTAGGCCTCATTTTGTAAAGTGTTGACCCAAAAATGTATTATTTTGCCGTATTTGAAATATTTAGACTCATTTTGTATATGGCCATTGGAGAAATGTAATAATCTTTAATTGCACTAAATCCTTTAGTGTATTTTTAGTAACGTGTGGCAAATTATGTTATCAATGTTGTCACTATTGTTGTTGCTTTGGTAAAATGTATTTAAATTACATACGTTGGTATGGTGCTGTTAGGTTATTGGTCATCAAAGTTGGTGTATTTCGGACAGTGAAAATTTCAAGTGTGGATAACCCAGAACCAGTCGACATAAAACCCCATACGTCGACCAATAGACCTGAACCAGTCGACGTGTAGCCTCCCACACGTCGACCGGTATCTTGGCAGTAGCTTTTTCACTGTACATGTCCTAAACCAGTCGACGTGTAGCTATCACATGTCGACCGGTATCTTGACAGTGGGCAATGTCACTGTGCGTGACCCAAACCAGCTAACATGTAGTGTACACACGTCGACCGTTCCAGTACCAAACATTTCTTATTTAATTTCCCTAATTATCCACTTATCTAAAGTTACGAGTATTTATTTTAGGACCCAATAAAATTTAATAATTATTTTGTGGCCACAGAAAAGACTATATTGCCCCGGACTTTATATTATTTATCATGTGATACAAGTAAATGACTATTTTGCCCTTTGAAGTCTCAGACCATTAGAATTGTGATAAATGACCATCTTGTCCTTGTTGGACTTAAATTTACAAATTTAACGTGAAAGGACCATATTACCCTTGAATGATTTTGGGTTGAGTAAGGACCCATTTAATGATCCGGATCCAATGGATTTGGGTCGTTACAAATTTGGTATTAGAGCGTTAGATTCGAATACCTAAGGACAACGGGTAGGGTTGACCTAAGCGGGACTTAGATTGATTTCGAAGTACTGCATGTTAAAGTGTTATTGTTTTAAGAAACATGTTTACTTGTTAATTACTTATATGTTTACAGTTTTGAAAGCATGCCTACTTGCTAAGTGCTGACGTGTTTAAATTGCCAGTAAATGTAATGAAGTGTACATGTTCTATGAAAGCATGTTAATTGTGATAAGATAACAAGTATAAGGAATGTGGTGACGGCAAGTAGTAAGCACGATGTGTGCAGTTTCATTTTAACAATAATATGGTAAATAGTAAGCACGGTAGGTGCAAACGTGTTTCGTATGATATTGTGGGTTTCATTCATTTTGTATAGGTATATATATATTTATATTCTTATGTCTTTATACGGTTAAGCATTGGAATGGTTACTAGTACGGCGGGGTACTTGTTACGGAATTGAGGGTTGTGTAAGTTTTGACTTGAGTAGGTGAGGCGCTCGGTTGCTCAAGGGTTGTTTGGGTGCCGGTTTTAGCTCATGGATTGAGCTATTTGGTGTGTGGTCACCCTGAACTTCTTAGATGCATTTTGTGCGGTGCTTAGAGCACGACTTTAAAGCAGGTTCTTACTTCATGGCATGGTGCCCTTGAAGTGTGTGAGTATCATGCATTGGTGTATGGGTTTTGGTGACCGTAGAGGTCAGGTGTGCGAGTAATGGTTTCATGGGAGAAAGGTATGATATTAGAAGGTTAGTGTTTGTGACTTGGTTCACTGTTTGGTGCGGAGGTTCATTTCGAACCGATCGTGGTAGGCGTGATAGGGGTTTATTGAGTCATGAATATAGTTTATGGGTTGTAGATGTATGATTGAGGGTGTTTTGGTATTGTCCGAGGAGGCGTGTTGGTTTTGATTGTCTTGGGGACTTGTTGGACTCTATAGGTCTAGGATGACGTAGGCATTGATTGGAGTCATGCTAGCGTTGGGTGATCGATTGTTTGATGTGATTCGGTCCGTGGGTTGTGAGAGTCTGTTTTAGAGACTGATTTGTCAAAGAATGATTCTCATTTTTGATAGTTGGAGGAGTGTGGTATAGTTAATTGACTCTTGGTGAGTCGGTTGTATGGCTCGATTGATGAGAGTCTTGAGGTGGTGTATAGTGGTCAGTGGTAGCTATGTAGTGCAGGTTTGCACGATAAAGTAGATAGTATGTGGTCAACGGTGTGCTTGTTTGTTTACGGATAAAGGGATAGATGATAGGTATTGTGTATCAAATGGGTTGTGTTTTGGAAATTAGAAGTTGTGGGCTATAATGTATCTCAAGTATGTTTAGAGTATCAGGTGATTGTGCTGAGTGCTTGAGGATTCAAGTGATAGATTGTTGATTTGAAATGATTGGGGCGAGGATGATTTTGTAGGCCTAGTTGGTTGCCCCATTTGGCTTTTGTCGGGACTAAGGGTATTCTGAGGATGGGGAATGATGAGAAGTAATGATGTTGAACCTAGGGCACGAAGTTTTCTTGTTTAGGCATGTTGATTGCCTTAGAATGAGTGGTTTGAGGAACCGGTTGAACGTTAGTGATTAATTGCATCGTTGATGGTTTTTAGGAGACAATTAGGTGTTGAATATTCTGGGTTTTGAGCCCATTTTGTTTTGAGGATTTGTCGGCATGACATTGCCGTATGGAGGTTCTTTTCTAGTGGTAAATAGTAGTCATTGTGGGAGTATCAAAAGTAATGCTGATTCTTTCGTTATGGTGGTCTTATTTTAAAAATGTATAAGAAAGAATTCCTTGGAAGTGGTTTGATGGTTCGGTAGGATGATAGGTTTGAAACGTTGTTGGAATGAGTGGCAGTAGAGATGTTTTGGTGTTATGGTATGGTGTTTAATACTAATGAGCGAAATGGTTTAAGGTGTGATCCAAGGGTAGATTAGAGTCTACGAGTTGTTTGTTGCGAGTTATTCGATAGGTGATGGGATGGTGCGCTAATTGAGGGGATTGTGGACGATTTAGTCATTAGAGTCAATGAGGACAACGTAGCCAGTTAGGCACCTTCTTCTTTTGACGAGTCAGTGGGTGTTGTGACTGAGGTCACGGGTCTTGTACGCACGGTGATTGAGGCAGTGTCGCTTAGGTAGGTAGAGATAAAGTGGATGGTAAAGTGTTATGTTATAGCGTAGAGGTTGTCGGTTGGGAGAGACCATAGTTGTTAAAGGCTCAAGGTGCACAAAAGCGCAAATGCCTCCTGGAGCCTGAGGCGCAAGGTGCAAGGCGAGGCGCGCGCCCGACTGAAGCAAGGCGCACGTTGGAAAAAGAAAAAAAAAACAAAACCCACCCAATAAAGTATTAAAGATGCAATAGTATATATAAAGATGTAAAAGTCAACTAAATGAATTACTTAAGTTAAATATTCAACATAAAGATGCCAAAACTAAGTAAATCAAGTAATTAAGTTCAACAGGGAATAATCAAACATATTAACATAAAGATACAAAAGTCAACTAAGAAGAAATATAAGATAAAACTAAAACAAACATAAACATCATTTCTTCCTAAGAAGACAACACCAACGAATCTAAATATCATCCTCGTCATCAAAAAGCATAACATCATTTTGATCGTCACTAAATGATTCATAATTCTCAGGATCCTCTTCTATCTCATCTGAATCATCCTCATCCTCATCCACAAGTTGAACTGAAGAACTTCCTGCTCCCTTTGTTGGTAACCGTGAACTAGAACTGGATTTTGATCTAGTAGACCGTTGCGGCCTGCTAGCCTTTCCAATACCAGCAAAATTAGCAACATCACCCTATGTCAAGGAATCATCTTCATAGACTAGATCATGTTCTGCATCAGAATCATCCATCCTCCCCGTCAACCACTTGTTGCTCTCATCAATGTCATCGAGTAAAATGGGATCAAGAGTGTTACGCATATTATATCAACGCCTCAATGCTCTATTATATTTGATGAACACTAAATCATTCAAAGTTGTTTGAGCGAGCCTATTTCTTTTCTTGTTATGAAGCTGCAATAAATTCAACTTTAACTAGTAAGTATACAAAATTAAAATTTTAATTTTCAACAATTAGATTACAAACCTATTTAGTTAGTAGATAGTATATACTTACATGCTCAAACACGCTCCAATTTCGTTCACAACGAGAAGAACTGCAAGTAAGGCTTAAAACCTTTATAGCAAACTTTTGGAGAAGTTTTGTTTACTTGCCAAAAGCTTCCCACCAATTAGCTATTAAAAAAAATTAATAATGATGTTTAGCAACTTTAGCTTCATCTTTCTATCGACTCTATTGTCAAAATAATTTTAACACTTAGTTATGCTAACTTAATATACTTTACCACTTTACCTGCTGCTCGTGTACTTCTCTGTCTAATAGCAAAGAGATTACCAAAGAGGCCCTCAACTTTAGAATATAAGGACAACTCCTCAGTAATTTTGTCTTGGTCTTTGGCATCCGGGACTAACCTTGCAATGCATGCATACAAACCCTTTGCAATCTCTTCATCTTCTTCAATTTTCGGATTCGAATAAAAGTATTCTAGGTTCAAAAATTAACCTACTGCATGCAAAGGGCGATGAAATTGAACATTCCACCTCTTATCAATTATTTCAAAAATATCTGAGTATTTATCTTCTACTCCCCCAAATGATTTTGCAATGGCTTCTTTAGCCCTATCCATAGCCGCATAAATGTATCCCATGGGAGGCTTTTTCTCGCCATCAACTAATCTCAAAACTGGAATAAGAGGACCGGAAACCTTAAGGCTAAAGACAATGTTGTTCCAAAAGGAAGGCATCAAAACATAAGAAGCAACTCTTTTACTGGCTTACTCTTTGGCCCATTTACTACGATTCCATTCTTCTGAAGTAAACATCTTTCTCAAGTTATTCTTTTGCTTGTGAATACTTGATAATGTGATGAAACATGTAGCAAATCGAGTCTTAGCGGGCCTAAGCAACTCTTTTTTATGAGTAAAGTTCCTCATAATATTCAACAACTTTGGACGCATATAAATATAACTATTCAACTCCACTGCCCTCTGCATTGTTCTAGAGAAAGACGGTATTTTCCCAACATCTTCCAACATCAAGTCTAAGTAATAAGCAGCACATGGTGTCCAATACAAATATGGGTGTTCTTTCTCTAACATCCTCCCTATTTGAAACCAAATGGGAAAAAAGAAAAAATGATATAAAGAGAATGAGTAAATCAAGAAAGATTTAAATTATATATTTGTAAAGAATGTAACATTGAACATTCTTACCGGCATACTTATTGCTTGATTCACTATTTGTGACAACTTGGACGACATTTGCTACTCCAATGCGGTCACAAATTTATTAAGTAAGTCAAACATCTTTGCACCATCCTTTGAAAAAGAAGAAGTATCTATCGATTCAATAAACATGGTTCCCTTTGGACTATTTACTAGGAAATTAAGCAATGTTCTCCCTCTCTTGTCTGTCCACCCATCTGCCATTAATGAGCATCCAAATTTTGACCACTCCTCTCTATGGTCATTCATTAAAGCATTGGTATTATCCAATTCCTTCCTAAGCAAAGGAACTCTCACCGCGTGATAACTAGGTGGTTTCATGCCAGGACCATATTGTCCAATTGTTTCAACAACCTCGGCAAAACTATCATACTTAACAGCATTGAATGCAATTCATGCATCATACATCCACCTTGCAAAAGCAGCACATGCTCTTCCTCTCAACACTTTCTTGCATGCATCATTAATGGTTGTCTGTTTTCCCCCCTCCTTTCTTTTTTGTACCACAATTTCCGGTCTGGGAGTGAAATATAAATCAATCGGTCCCTTTTGATTTTGCATCTTTGAGGAATTGACACTAGCACTGCCACTACCTGCACTAGCTACCCTTTTTCCCCGATTGTTAACTTCCATAACGTCATCCTCATCCTTTCCATCAATGAAATTAATTTCATCACTAAGTAACAAATTCATTTGCTCTTTTTCTTCCTTTTTCTTACTCATGTACTCTTTGATTTCTTCTCTAACACTAGATGGGCATCTTGTGCATGCACTCACATTTCTATACCCTCCAACTAAGTGTTGTTTAGCCCAATAAATACCTCCTTTTGTAACTTTTGCACAAAAGTTACAAGTGACGGCATTTGTATCTTTCGGATTCTCCAAATGTGAGTAATTCCTTACCGGATCCTTTCTTGAACCATCACTAGGCATCTTTTAAAGTACAAACTACAATCAAATTCAAGATGACAAAATAATAGCATCATGTAATTAGTGTCTGCAATAATAAAGAGCTTTGACAAAATGCAAAAAGCATAATATTATTTCATGCAAAAAAAAAAAAAAAAAAAAAAAAAAAAAAAAAAAAAGCAGTGTTGATGCAAAGAGCAGAATATTATCTATATATTATTTCGATCTCAACTTATATATATATAGTTATCATTTTCATGAATCATGTCCAAACTAAGGTTATATATATATATATATATATATTTATCATTTTTCATGAAAGATATGTTGAGATCAAAGCTTGGTTTCGAATATTATTTATATATTATTTTGCAGACCAGAGTCCAGACAATCAACCGGCAAGGAATCTACAAGACTACAACAATGATATCCTATTGAAAAAAAATGGAATTTTGGTTTGGTTTCTTTGATCACAAAAAATTACCTAGTTATATTTAATATATAATTTTTTTTTTGTTTTTGAAAATTTTATTTACCCAAAAAATACTTATATTTATATATTTTTTCCTAAATATATATATATATAGTAATCAAATTCACAAAATAGTTATCCTCAATGGTTCAATGTCTTGAACATCCTTTTATGAAATCATAAGTTCCAATTATTATTTAGAAAATGAAAATAATAATAATAATAATAGTAGTAGTAGTAGTTTTTACGGGTCTTTCTTGAATGCAGTGGCAGAGTCTTGAATTTAGTCCGAGGGGCAGGCGATAATATGGTAAGAAATTTTTAAGAATCAAAATTCAAAAAATGAATACCAGTTCGTGAAATGAAGAAGGAAAATGGAGAGATACCGGTTGTCAATGAATGACATAAATTAATGGAATTTCATCTTCCAGTTCCAATAAGAAATGGTATTGAAAAAAAAAATTTACAAAACAATGATCTACAAGACTACAACAACGATATGCTATTGAAAAAAAATAATAATAATAAAAATAAAAAAAGAGCTCAGAGCCTCAGACGAAAGAGGAAAAAAAAAAAAAAAAAAAAAAAAAGAGCCGAGACTCGAGAGAAGAAAAGAAGAAGAAAAAAAAATAAAAAATAAAAAAATAGAGGAAAAAAAAATATAAAAAAAAAAATTAAAAGAAGAGCAAGACGCCAAGACTTAAGAGCCTGCCGGGAGAAGAAAAGAAGAAGAAGAAGAAAAGAAGAAAAAAAAAAAAAAAAAAATCTGAGAGAGGAGTCGGACGACAGTCTCTGGAAGAAAAAAAGAAGAAGACTAAGAGATGATGATCCGAGAAGAAAAAGAGAGGAAAGAAGAAGAAGAAAGGGAAGGAGAACTTACCGGCTTCGCAGATCCGGATTCCGGCAGATCCAAGACTCCAAGTCCAAGCTGCAAGCTTCGCAAATCCGGGCTCGTACTTCTCTGTTCTTGCATTGGTCCTTTTTTCTTTGTTTTTTCTTTTGACTTTTGTAGTCTTGTATAGCCGTATGCATAGGTTTTGTAATTAAAAAATAAAAACTAAACAAATACTAAACAAATAATAATCAATCAAAATAATAGCAAAAAAAAGTACAAAATATATATATATATATTCACTCAGGCGCGCCTTTATAGCGCCTTTCGCCTTGAGCCTGTTCCTTAGAAGCGCACGCCTATCACAAGGCCGTCGCCTTGAGTCAATCAAGGCCCCAAGGCTGCGCCTCAGGCGCGCGCGTTCGGCGCCTTTAACAACTATAGGAGTGACTGATTCTAGGTAGAACGGGACGCAGTGTTCGAAGGTGCTATGACTATTTCTAGTGTTAGTGTGTCGTGAGCATCGGTGCTCTTACCGGATTGGTTTTGGTTAGCAGGAGTATTACAATCCGTATGCAAGGTTTCTTTGTTGATAGTGTGCGATGGTCCGTCTGTGGCGAGGTTTCCTGGGATCGAGATCGTAATCCCGTGTGTGTTTCTAGTTGGTTCTTCTCCTTATGTGTATGGAGTTCAGTTTTCCTCATGTGAGATTGGGTGTTCACGGTTGGACGGTTGGTGAGCAGCATGTAACAGGGTGTTAGGTGCATTCAGGTGTGAGTCGTCAGTCTCTTGTGAGAGTAGGGTTCATTACCCTTTCCGTTTGTCCTGGTCCTAACAAGGACATTGTTTGTCATTGGTTTTGTCCTCCATCCTGGAGTTGTGCGCTTCCGCAGATGGGCGAACCCGGGTGTGGTTTGTTATACTGTTAGAATTCACCGCTAAAGGTTTGGTGGAATTGGTTGACTCACTCCCACGGAAGGAAGTAGAGTCTTTGGTTTTTGTTGTGCTTGTTCTGAGAGGTCTTGATTAGTGGTGTGTGAGACACGAGTTGTCTAATAGAGATTGTGTATTTCTAGTGTCTGGTACTATCGGTGATGGCTAGGGGATGTGTTGTGAACTGTAAGTTTGAGGATTATTAGGTGATGTGATGTGAGTCACACACTCGAATGTTTTTATAGGCGCTTGATACAAGCAATGTCTTGAAGACAAATGTCGATGTCGCCTTAGAATTACGTGATTAGAGAACGTGAAGGTGGGATTCTGATTAGGAATAATGGGAAAGGTTGACTTTGGTTTTGAGATCTCAAGCATGAGATCCTCGAATTGTGTGCTTTGATGAGGTCATAACTGAAGTGAATGATGTTATTGAGTTGTTCACATAGTATGATTATTATGAGAAGATCGGAGAGCTCTTATGTTGGTCGATGATTATGGTATTTGGTGCTGTGTTGTTTTTCATTTGTTATGGGTTGTGTGTTCAAGGTATGGTTGGGATTTTAGAGCATGTATGTGACTGTATAGTCATTAAGGTTACGTAGAGTGATGGATTGATAGTGAGTGGATTCTGTGGTTGTATTGTGGACTCTGTGACATTTTGTTTGAGGTTTGGAGGCACGATGTCGGGTCAAAGGTCAATGATGGTTTCAATTTGTCAAGGATAGTGAGAGCACGGTATTACGCGTTGTGTCGGTGTAACAATGTGGATTCGGATGATTTGTTTTGGGTGACAAAGTGTGTTAGGTAGTACCAAGTGTCTGGTATAGGGCTTGCGAATCGATCATTAATTATTAAAGATTTTGTTTTAAGGATTTGTGACCTGGGTACAGGATAATTTGTTTTATTGTTCTTGTGATTCATGATTATGTAGTCGTTGGGAGATTCATCATTTAGTCATCTTGAGGATGATAAGTTTAGTGTTTGTCGTTTGGTGTGTTGGTAGTCGTTGTACGAGTGTGTAATGGTGTAGTTAAGTGTTAGGTAGTGAGTGTTCGGCCTAACAGGGATGTGTAGATTATAGTTGAGCTTGATTTTGAGATGGATAGGGTTCTTTGTCTGGGGTTTTGTGTGTCCTTTTAGGGAAGAGTTGTGATTGAGGGTTGTCATATTCGGCGGTTTAGTGACCGTTCTTCTTTTGGGCTTCGGAGTCTTGCGTAGCAGTGTAGAGTGGACCGATATCCGTTTTGAGTCGATTGTAGGGCCTAATTGGTCTCGTGTTCTGATGTTGGGAGGGATGAGTACCCTCATAGAGTCCTGAGCATTGGGTTTTTCTGGCAAGAATGTGTGATTACCTATTGGCATCGGGTGTCAAAGGCAACAGGGTTGTTGAGTTCTTAGTCCTGTGGTTTAATGAAGTGTTTCTTGGGAAGGTGTGTCGTTATAGGCCTCTTTCTTCAAGGATGGTAGATTTCGATGATGAAATCTTTTAAGGAGGGTAGATTGTGAAGTTTCTTTTTTTTTTTCGTTTTTCCATTTTCATGAGCTTTTCAAAATTTTCTGAATTTATTTAATTTTAGTACCTCGTTTTGCGTGTCACGTGGGCACCAAAGGGCATTTTAGTCATTTCCTCCAGCCGAGGGTTCTGGTAATGTATTTTTAATCATTTTAAGTCATTTAGAAGTGGAGGTATCATTCTAGAAATTTTTCGAGGTCGGAACGATTTTTGGGTTCGGGAACTTCTCCCGGTTTTCTCATTTTAAGTAAGGGGCATTGTAGTCATTTCACATGCACATACATATATTTGTATCTATTTACTAGAGGTAGATATTTATGGGATGTAGATGGTATTGTGTGGAAAGAGGAGAGGCACAAAGGTAACTTAGCATAAAGTGGTAATCAACCACAAGTTCACATGTGACACATTATTGGCCTTAGAATTAAAGTTGCTAGACCACCTTTTCACCTTCTCCTCCTTCTCATTCGGGCACTATTTTCCTCTCTCTTTCACTTTCTCTAACTTCCTCTATATTCTTTCACAAGCACCCATTTATGCCTTATAGGGAAAAGCTTTGATTTAGAGAGTTTAAGGTGGGATTTTGATAGAGAGGATGAAGCGAATATGGAGAGCTTGGCATGAGCTTCAAGTTGAGACCAATATTGCTAGGGCTTTGAAGGATTCCGAGATTTGGAGGCCTTAGGGCTTGTTTGGCTAGCTTCAACGAGGTAGGGGTGTTTTAATGCATGATTTCTTGTACTTTTGTGAGTTTTATAACTTGAATTGATGTCTAGCATGTTCAATTAGTATAAATTCTTGTGAAAATTGCTTAAATGATAGATATGGAATATATGTGACTAATTGTTAGTTGTTTTATAATATTTAAACATGCTTATATGAAGTTAAATGCATGTCTTATATGCTTGTTATGCATGGTTGATGTTAAATGAGAACTTTAGTTATGTAGTTTAGAATGTTGTGTTTATATAGCATGTGTGAGAGTCTTGAGGTGGAATTGATGAATTGGAGTATGAAACATTCCATGCATTCATTGGGATAGAAAAAGGGGAGGAAAAAATGTTTTTAAAACAAGTGAAATTATTTTGGGAAAAGTCTTCTAAAAGTGTTTGCGAAAACCTGGACGCCTAGGAAGCGCTTAGTGGTCCGTGGTGTTAGTGTAGTTTAGAAGGGAGTATAGTTGAGCTAACTAAGCCGGATGCGACGCCTTGGAGGTGCATTGTGGTCGTGGATGGTTAGCCAATCCTCTTTTCGTGACGCCTTAGAGGTGC